AGGTAATTAGTGTATGAGCCAGTACGTCATCGATCAGTCAAGTGCTACGCTCGCGTCAAGACTGGGCATAGGTCCAAGGACAGGGCGTGACAACTTTGGCTGACTTGATCTGATTGGGCAGGAATACAGTCACAACCCACGGGTGGATCCTCCATCTCCGTGCTGAGAAAAGGCGTTCAGGTAAGACAACGCCCCTTCAACTTCTCAGAAATTGGTCCAGGATCCTTCTGCTAAAGCAATTTACCTGTTTTGCCTTTTAGTTATTCATAAATCACAATAAGTATTGTTAAAATATGATTGGCTAGATTTATGCAACATGTTAAGCCATATGCAAGGAAGTCACACTATAGTTTTGTATAATGTGTAAAACTAGCCTGTATGAAGCCTTTTTAAAATCTTGTTACAATTGTTTTCTGTAGTACAAAGCTCTCAGCAGCCCTGTCACATCTTCATTTTTTTCTGACAATTTACAATTTACAGTGTCTTGATTATTTCCAGAGGAGTTTCTATATAAATGCCTCTTAGTACTAATAATCCATTCTAGAGACTCCTTAACAGATTATTTTCCCAATAAGAAAAAAAGAACAGTAATGCTGGAGAGTGGGTAAGGGGAATAGAGGTAAGACAGATGGATTGAAGTCTTTATCTGGAGTCCAAAATTATGTAAGTGACACAGCATAATTAGTCAGTGAAAGCCTTGTATGAAAGCTTCCCGAAAGAGCACTTTCTTAAATTAGACTTATTTCTTTTTGTAATGTCTCAAAGCACTGGGTGAAGATACTTAAGTGTGTTTTTATGCTTGAAAAATGAATAAATTCAACGCAGAATTCAATTTATTCACTCCAATATTGTTTTTCAGCTCTTCAGGTCAACACAAGGAGCTGAAGATTCTTTGGACTGCTTTCCCTATCCAGAGAGGATTTTGTTAAGATCAGGCCATCATGCAAATTGCATGACCCCATGTCCTCAAAGAGTTTCTGAATACCGGGCTACTTTAAGTAGAACTTCTCTTTCAGACTTTATCAGTGGAGCCTTACTCGAAGCTACTATATCTCTGGGAGCAAGAAGTGGCACCTTAAATATTTCAGGAGGATCAACTGGGAAGATCATGTTAAAAGGTAATGAAGGAAGCTATATAATTTTTGATAGTCTGCTTGTGAAAGCTGTTATGTGTGGAATCTCTCTCCAAAGAGCCATTTGTAAGCCAAATGGTGTGTGCATGTGTATAATGATGATGATGATGATGATGATAAAGTTGGAAGGGACCATGGAGGTCATCTCAGGCAGGAAACCCTATACCTATATATCTATATATATATCTATATATGTGTTTGTGAGCACACGTGTGTGTGTATACATATACTGCATACACACGCACATATTCATATATACTGTACATACATATACACTTATACATATACATACTTATATACATCTACAATTATTTTAAAATAATAAATACTTATATACATATACATACACACATACAGACCACATTTTTAGAGTTCAAATGATGGATATTTTAAAAGTTTTCCATATATGTTATTTTTTTAAAAGAAACATGGAGCCTCTGATTTTTATCATTAGAATGCAAAGAAGCTGTTTACAACCAATAATTTAAAAGCAAGTAAATTACCAGACTAAGATTTGTATAAAGTTTTCTTACCAAAAATGATCAGAATTTGCAGATTATGATCAAGCTGACATAATCAGCATCTATTCATTAGGTCTGGGAAGTTCACATTGTGTTCTTGGAACAAGTTGTTTTTATTTTCTTTTGTATCTTCAAGTTCTATAGCCAATATGGTTAATCTCATCACATGGATTACATATTCTTTGGAATTTTTTAAAAAAAGGATCCCTCTTCCTAGATTATTTTGTGGAGTCTCTCAAATTTTATGTTTTAGGAATGTTAATCACTTTAGATTGTAATATCTCAAAGCACTGGGTAAAGATACTTAAGTGTGTTTTTATTGTAGTTTGTACTGAAGTAAGATTCCATGTCAAAGTGGTTCTTAAAGAAAGGAGAATTAAAGTACAGTCCTCATTGTTTAAGATACATTCAGAATACACGTCTCTTTCTGTGTTAAATAATCATGTGTTTATTATGTTCCTGAAAGCTTATGGTCAAAAGATTTATAAAATGAGGAATTAAATAAATGCATCGTTCAATTTTAGAATGTTGTAGAGTAACATAAAACTTCAATGAATAAACATTGTTATATTTTAGTGTCTTATTTGTACAATGCTGTCAATCTAGTATGTTGTTGCTATAATAAATGCTGTAACATTGGGAAAATAATATATGTATCTCTACATCTGTACAGTACATTACTAAATCAGATTTCCAGATCCTAATTTTGGTTCTCTATAGCAAATTGGGAGATTGCAGGATACAGAGAAGGATATATTTAAAATACTCCATTCCCTACTTTCCTATCACATCTTCCCCAAACGCACGGAAAATACTTTAAAGAAAATCACGATTTCTACAATGTATTGTGATGTCATGTTATTAAAATGTTATCTTTTTTGGTAATTTTTCCCCTATACTGTTTTGTTTGGTAATATAAAGAGTAATTCTTGCCATGGTCCTCTATTTCTAAGATTATTTAGCACTCCTATTCATTTTATTAATCTATACAAATTTCTTTTTTAATGGGCAGCACAATAAAGAAACTTGATTTGTTTGTGTACTTAAGCACATCGAACAGCTTAGGGAATAACTTAAAATATTTAACTATTTGTTTGTAGATCGGGGGGGGGAGGGGATAGTTCCGTGCAAATGGCAGGCATGCACGCCTGCTGTTTACCCAGATGGAGCATGTGCACACACACTTTTCATGCAAGTGGGGATGCACAGACATGCCCGTGTGCTTACCCGCCACTTCTGCAGCCCAGTTCCAAATGGCTCAAGGCCCAGTAGTGGGTCACAGCCAGAGGGTTTGGGGAGCTCTGCTGTAATCTTCTTATCCTTGTTATTCTTTCATTCCACTAAAACCGAATTAACATATTGTTGACATTTTTTTGTGAATCATGTCACATTTGCCAGAATTATTGAAGTCATTTGAATATGTTGCACTAAAGTTCAAGAGGTGTATCGTATTGCAACATGATAAAAGCAAGGAAGAGTTAAATATTCATGTAGTCCAGAATTAGTGCAAGTTAATATCTTGATATGTGAGGTCTTAAAATTAACATTTGAACATTGTTCATTTATACTTCATCAGACTTTGAAGATATAATCAATGACCTCTTAGGTGGGAATCTTTACAATTCTTCATTATTGAAGAATTGTAGATGAAAAACACTTTTTCTAAGTAGTTGAATTTTTAACCTTTTCCTCTGAAAAAAATAATTCAAAATAAATTTGGAGTTTTGATAATATAAACAAAAACAAACCCATACATAAATATGTCATGTGCTAATTAGGAACATGTTTGAATTTTCAGAAAGAATCATTGAGAGGAGGGCTTCTAATATATTTTGACAATATGAAAGGATATATTAAAAACAACCTACCGGTAGTACAATATTGATTATTAGAAGATTTTGACCTGACTGAGTCTGTTCCAGGTATATTGATTTTCATGCTGCATAAATGTGTTTGTTTTTCTTGTAACCAAATAAAATGCTACTCTTCGTAATTCTTTTAAAAATAAAATCTATCTTGTTGGAATCATAGTGTTTCCGGTTTTATCTGGTAAGTAGGTAACTTGACCTTTATGCCTGTTGTCTTTGTGACTTACACAATGTATGCTAATTGTATATTTTGATAGTTCATAGTTTCACACTGAGCAGCTGTTGCACAATAGTGAATGCAAGTAAATGTAGCATGTTACATTTCTCTGCTTTTGAAAGCATCTGTACACACTGACATTTTAGGAGAAAATGAATAGAAATATTCAGTTTACCGATAAGCTTGATGGCTTATATAGTCATTTCTCATGTCTTTTTAATCTAAAAATGTTTTTGAGATCGAGATAATGGCATGGATTTCAGAGGCAGTTGCTGTAAATTATTTGTGGGAAAGCATATCTAACATATATGTATTTTTATCATTTTCTTTACAGATTTTGGCTATATTTCTGAATATGTTAAGTGCTGTGAAAATTTAGTTATAATGAATTTAGATTAGTCTGTTTTAATACTAATGTATTTTATTTAATACATGTTTTATTATAGTAAGTTCAGTATTGTAACTGTGGTACATGTTGGTAATGTTACTGGATATTTACATATCAGAAAACTATTTTAGGTAATAAGGCTTACTTTCTTTATTTTAGAAGTAAATTAAAAAAAATTATATTAGAAAGTTATTTGACATAATTTCCAAAAAAAATCACATAGAAAACCACCGGGCAAGTTTATATCATCGTAGAAGAGTTGTAATATAATAGTTGACATTGCATTCTAATAATAATTAGTGAAAAATATTGAGCATTTTATTGACTTGACTATTATTGTGGATACAATATTTATTGATTAATAAACATACCTAGCATTAGAAATCAGTAAAAGTGTTTCTTTTGTATCAGGAATTTCATTTAGATGGCAAATGTTGCCTTTTCCTTCTCCCATAACAGATAATTTCAAGTTTTCTTGAATCCTTATTTGCCCTATTTGAATATCACAGTCAGCAATAGTTGTGCAAATTGCAATGCAGAGGAGAAAACATATTTACCAGAGAAAGTTTAGAGTAATGATGTGGGGAGCAGATCATTTTGCAAAGTTTTCTCTGTCCTTTAAACCAAATTTTGGAAAATCAGAACAAAATGTTTACTGGTTGCTTTCTCACAGTATGGTAACCAAAATTCTAACAAGCCACTGGGTAAACTTAATTACAGTGCTATTTTTCATCTAGAATTCTTGGCAGTGTCTTGGGGATTCCAGAAAGTTGGATAATAATAACTGCCCAGATTTAATATTAGAATGTCATATAGCATTCTTATATGATATTGCAAAGAAGGGTTGTGACTGGGGATTGTAGAAAGGATATTAATTTTAACAGATTTCCTATGGTTTACAAGATTATTGTTCATTTATTTGCATGAGAAAAAAGGAAAATCAGTGGCAATGACTTATTTCATTGACAAAATTATTAATGACTTAATCAGTGGTAACTTAATTCACTGAAAAAAGAATTTAAACAATGTGTTTTCATGAGAAGGATAATATGTTTCACCAGAAGGATTTAATTTATTTTGTTGTACATGTTTTTATTTTAATACAATTTGATTAACAATTAAACCGTTCTATCTCATTTGTAGTACTGAACCAGCTATGATTTTCATTTTAGTCAGTGACAAGCAGATTTATAATATACCGTATTTATCGGCGTATAACACGCACCGGCGTATAACACGCACCTTCATTTTAAGAGGGAAATTTCAAGAAAAAAAAAGCGCCGGCTCGGGAGCGAAAGCAAAAGGGGAGGGGGAGTGGGGCTT